TACCTATAATACTAAAAGAAAAACCAAGTTCATCCAATATATGGGTTTGCAGATGATCAAGGTTTTTCCTCAAGCTACATACATTATTATGAAAGAATGTGAATCGGTTATTATATAAACTATTTGGAGCTTTGTCAATTTTTTGGAAGCTATTGGGTGAATAATACCTACTATGAATATGGTTACTGATAATATTGTGATCGGGGTTTATATCCGAATTAGGATTTGTATTCAGATTAAATAGGTCCAGATCATATATACTAGTAAGCTTATCTAAATAGTTTTTAGCGATATGATTTGGAGAAAGACCTGACATTCGTTTAATTTATGTTTAATTAATGCTTTCGTTTCCCCGGATTTAAATAGCCGGGGGGGAATTAGTACCCTCGCACGGCGCTTCGCGCCGTCGGCTCGGGGACAAAGTGGGCGGAACAGGCTTTTGAATAGTTTTTCCTCAGGCCTTTATTTTTTCGAAAGGCCTGACATTCAGGTTATTTCTTACATCACTCTCGCACAGAATAACTTATAAACATTACCGTTTCCCAAACACATGTGGTTTCTGTCATTCCGTCCTGAACTGAGACTGCAGTGTCTTCTCGCCAATTTTTATCAAACATTTTGAAAGTGATAACGTATTGATAGCAGCCATGCTTTTGTTTTTCTAAAGGTTTTAATTATCCTAATGTACTCTGAGAGCAGAGCCTGGGGGTACTTTTAACAGTTAACAACTTAAAAATTTATAGCGATTAGGGTAAATAAACATCTACTTAATTTTTCTTGAAAGTACGTAACTATTTAGAGTCTGGGTGTACGTCTAATAGTAAGCGTCTTAAACATTTATAGAAATTTCTTTAAAGTCACTATATTTGCTTTGTCACTATTTGTCATCGGTCAATGAATTCTTTAGCTCGCTAATTTGACTATTCAGCATGGACTGTATGGTTCATACCTGGGGCAATTATTTACTGCAAAGCCTCCGCCTTGCATAAGTACATGTATTTTAATATTGATTATTACATTCGCAATACCTTGTTGTAATACCCTGTTGTAATTACCTTGTTGTTATGCGTTGGCATTTCCGTAAAATATATCGCGGGTAAGGCAGCACTAGCTCTGTGCATTTCTTATATTATTATGTTGCATTCATGCTGTTTTCGTCCAGAAATCAACACCACCGTGATGGTATTTTACTACGGGGAGAAAAAACCCAACACAATTCTCTATGACCTTGCATATACTAACTAAAAAGAAACAGTTACAATGCATTTTCGACAAGCAGTTGAAACTCCAGCTGGAATTCACCGTGTTAGTATTATGTTAAGTTAGAGGGCAATGAAACAGTTCCGCATTTTATCCCTTTTGTCCGCATCCGCATTTTATCCTTTTTGTCCGCATCCGCATTTATCCTTTTTGTCCGCATCCGCATTTTATCCCTTTTGTCCGCATCCGCATTTTATCCCTTTTGTCCGCATCCGCATTTTATCCCTTTTGTCCGTCCGTCTGTCCGCGTGTCCGTCCGTCCGTATCCGCGTTTTATCCAACCCGAAATAATATATACGTATTAAATACGTATCATAGTATATTTAATAAGAAAAAGATCAAAGGCTAAGTCAAGGAGAAAGCTATCTATTGCGGCAGAATTAACAGAACGAATATCTGGAATAATTTCACATAATCGAACAAAAATGGCAAAGTCCGAGTGTACTGGCACAAGTCAATGGTGGAAAAACGTTGACTTTTTGTCACATAGAAGAAATCGAGCACATATATTATACTTGACAACGAGTTCAAAGAAAACTTGAACGATTACTTTGGAGAGCTATGTTGGGATAGAGACTATGAACAGCCAACGTTGATGGAGATAGATTCAATCACAATAAAAGCTCCTCAGTTTAGCATAACCCAGGTCAAGAACGCTTTGTTGAAAATAAGGAAAACTGCAACAGGCCCTGATGAAATCCCATTTTGGGTATGGAAAGAAAACGCTGATGTATTTGCACCTGTTATGACCAAGATTTGGAATGAATCTCTCTCTACATCCAAATGGCCTACCTCTTGGAAAATTGCTCATATAGATCCTTTACCAAAAGTCGAGAATCCAAAGGAATATTGTGAATTTAGAGGTATAAACGTGACACCTGTGATTGGACGATGCTTCGAAAGAACGGTTTATCATTATCATAGTAAAAGATCTTTCGAGGTTGAGTTATCATCTTCCCAGTTTGCTGATCGAATCGGTGGGTGCACAACAGACGCCTTAATTAAATTACAGTATATGTACCTGAAAGCACTAGAAGAACCAAATTGTGATGCAGTTAATTGTGATGCAGTTAATAAGCGTAATCAAGTTCATGTGTGAGAGAAATTTAGGATCTACTTTATCTACATTTGCGATGAATCGGCAAGTTGGATGTCATGAAAGATTGGTTACTCATGAAAATTCATAAATGTCTTATCACTATACTGCATGATCTTTTTAGTTTACCAAATACATATTCTTACAATTTCTGCTACTCTCATGCATGCATGATTGCATGTTCAATCACAACACTGTGGTTATAAACACCTGCATTGCATTTTGATCCTGCTATTTTAAAATATTGAACAAGCTATTTTTCCTGAGATTAAAGTCATATAATTCGAGAATTACATTATGTCAAGTTCCACCAATCATAATTCAAATAAAATAAGTGGGGTTAACAAATACATGTTGCAAAATTGCTATCGAACACATTGACATTAAAAATAAATAAATCGTAAGGGAAAAAAAAATGATGGTGAGCTTTGTTTGTCGTGTTACCAACCCTCCAATCAAGCACTTGTAAGATAGAAGCTTTGTGGGGAAGCTGCTGGTTGTCTTGGCCCCATCCAGGTTTCCTGTAAAGATATTGCAGGTTTTTCCTGGCCTCCCTGATGTTCCAGCTGTAGTATGAGTGGTGGTAATGCTCAAATATATGTCTTACGATCAACTTGTAGTTTAAAAAAAAAAAAAAAAATCTATTTGCATATAACATGATTTTAATCAATTAATTATTTAAAGTGTGTCGAAAGAGAAATATAGACGATATGTCTTCGAAAAGCACAAAGATCATCTATCTTCTATACGATTACAGTTGTGGTGGGAGTTGGGTTTTTTCGTCTATGGGGAATACACATGCTGTGTATTTGTGGGGATGGAGTGCTCCCAAAGGTCACCCTCAACCCCATAGACTCACACAAATCAATGTATTAAACAGTGTATTGTAAAGTAAACAATGACCATCACGGGGATCTACTACCCCTTGGACATTAAAGTAAACAATGACCATCACGGGGATCTACTACCCCTTGGACATTAAAGTAAACAATGACCATCACGGGGATCTACTACCCCTTGGACATTAAAGTAAACAATGACCATCACGGGGATCTACTACCCCTTGGACATTTAAGATGCCCATCTCGGGGATCTACTACCCCTTGGGTAAAGTCCAACATGGGGGAACCACAACCCCCTGAGGACATATAATTATATCATAATCATATTGCTGTAATAGTGAGTCTGTGGGGCGACACTTTGGCCACAGTTTAAAGTATAACCGGAGCATTTCTCCTCGACAACCCTTCTCCCACAACATTGTGTGTGATAGTTGTTTTCTTAATTGTCTTAGAATATTTGCTTAACGAATTGGTGCATTAAAGCAAGTTTATACATGCCCATAGCATTATAAACTTAAGTTAATGAAACAAGCGTTAGGACAAGAGTAAAGTTGTGCAAAGTCTCCTGGAGTACAAAGGTCAATCTGTGAATCGTGTGATCATACACGTGCAAAGCGCAAGGCTGAATTAACAACAAACCATTGTCAAATCTCTTCCCATGCGTGCGGGAAAATAGACCAATCAGGTTTCACCTCTTCGTCTACATAGTTTCCTGCTTGGATCAAAAACAGGTGGGAAATTTGTCGTCGCTGACCAAAAAATCGCGGGCAGAAACAAAGCTCATTGCATTTACATTCAAAACAAAGCAGAAAGTTAGCAAGAAGCTGTTTTAGCTGACGATTTTTTGCTTTCCATTCAACGATTTACAAATTAACGGTTATTCTTTTAAAAGTCGACTATGAAGTCTTTGTTTTGGGATGATTTGTTTTATAATCGAGTGATTGGAAGAAGTTAATATGGCGACGTGAACATGGGAGTAAATACCGTATACGTCGAGCTGTGGCTTGTCTAAAATCGTAATAAACGAAGAAAGACGCGATATGAGAATGAAATGTAAGTTTAAATTAACTTTATATGCCTCAATTTTCCATCCTATGTTTCTTAATGTAACTTCAGCTGTCCAAGTTCAAAATACAAGCTCGCGAAATTTGACAAATTTTGAAAATATGTAAAAATAGCTTGACTTTGAACTGTATTTTCTCAAAAATAGCCCGTGGCCTCAATTTCAAATATAGCTAAATGAAAAGAAAAAACTTTTCGGCGTTTATAGGTATCAAACATATCGTCAGGAAAATAGGAACTAATAGGGGCTCACAATGTTTAAGCTGAGTCTTTGAGACCCAGTTGCTTCGCACGTGTTGTGGTCAAATTTTTGCCAAGAATCAAAGGCCGAAATGTGAACTTCCTTCATGAAAACCGCTTCGAAAAGGGTCTAGTTTAAAAATTTAGCTATTAATTTCGATTTCATGAGCATATTTTGGTTACACGTTAAATATTTTTGTACTTGATGAGATTCAAAATTTGTTGTATATTCAAGCCCGGTTTGGTGATGACCGGAACAGAAATAAAGATATTTTAAAAACTGGCCGTGGCCTCACGATAAAACTTTCTAAAAATGTTCTCTGTTTCATGTATTTTTATTTGATATCTTAGGTATAAGCGTAAAAATAGGGGCTCATACAGTTTACGAGGTTGTAAAATGCATGACTTGCCTCTATTTTCATGTAAACATTCGAAATTTTTCGACAGCAAAGTAGCAACTGTTTCAGATCGAATGCACGCGGACAGTCCACCAGAGACAAGGGCACGGTACTGAAGTAGAACGTCACTAAAGATCATGTCCATTTTCAACATAAGACAGTCATTTTGCTCGCGCATGCTCAGACAAATTTCCCACCTATTCCACTATGTTAAATCAAGTAACGTATACTTTTTTAGGGACACCTATGACGTATAAAAACGGCCTAGTTTTAGCCACTACATCTCCCAAACAAATTTAATCTTAGCCTTTAAATGTAATTTATATTATATTGTAGCAGCATGCAGGGGCTCCGTGAGATTGTGGAGGTCCGGGACAAAACCTTTCCAGGGGGCCTTTATGACGTCATAATTTTAAAACGGGAATTGCGGTGTTTTGTTACCTCCGCCAGGAGGTTATGTAATCATCTGGGTTTGTTATTACCTCCGCCAGGAGGTTATGTAATCATCTGATTCATCTGGTTACCTCCGCCAGGAGGTTATGTAATCATCTGATTCATCTGGGTTTGTATGTGTGTGTGTTTGTCTGTGAGCACGATAACTCAAGAAATACCAAACATATTCCCACGAAATTTTTTGAATGCATTCCCCATCGGTTAAGGAAGAGTTGATTAAAATTTGGTTGAATTTGGTTAAAAATTGAACGAGAAATGAACAAAATTTTGTCTTGCTTTTCCCGGTCAATTAAAAAAACTTACTGAATGCGTAATTAGGACGTGTGATAATTTATGCACCAGTATACAGGGTATATAAAGGTATACAAACAATGCTATAATTTTTAGATTGTATACAATTGTAAATCTCACTTATATAAGGGAGGCTGCTCAAAAATCGTGTGCTTTACAAATATATTCTAATTTCGTAATAATAATAATAGGTCAATAGTTATCTATACACGCTGGCAATATTTTAGGTACGTTTTGTACGCTGAATTTCGGTGGCGTCCAATACGATTAAGACAAATAGTCAATACATAATAATGAGATGATAAACCTCATTAAGCTTCAGCTTTCATTATCTATTGTCTTCACGCGACTGAAATTCAATGTAGGCTTACGGAGTTACGCATCGTTGCGTTCAGCAAAGTGCTAGGCGTTCAGCAAAGTGCTACCCGCAACCCAAGGGAGGTTTAGTAAAAGTCTCTTGGGATTGTCTTATGATGCAGGGAAAATTAGAACACAAAGAAATCTTTGGTTTTTAACTAAATTTTCCGTGGAAATTTAGAAGACAAAAGCGTATGAATAGGAAATGGGGGAAATACGTGATTAAACGCCCCTTTGGGTTGTAGGTCCCTGGGAATTGAAATCGAATTGCTAATATATCATACAGGGCTGCATAATATAGCGGACCACATGCAGGACCATTGGTCGCAGAAAATGTTTGAGGTTGGCAGAAAAAAATGGAGTGTAACACTTAAAAGTCTCAAAAGAACAAAGTAGAGAGAAAGAAAGAAAGGAAAAACAGAAAGGAAGAATATCAGAAAGTGACATAATTGAATAATAAGCTGTAGATAGTGAACTAGTGATGTTTGCAACATACAAGTTTCCAATAATATATGAATGCAACTACAGTATGTGGATTAAAAAGTCTACGAGTCATGTGGTGATTTCTTACAATGTAGTAAAAAATCTAAGCATTATGTTCCAATATACAACAGCCTTCTGCCCTTCTCATGAACTTTCATCCCATTTATTAAGATGATATTCATAACAAATATGTTAAAATTATAAGAATCTAGAATCTTAAACTGCAGACAGTTCCCAGTGGTCACTTTCATCATTCATGAAAATGTAAATGTTGTTAAATTAAAATATAAAGAATATTTATCCTATAGCCAGTAGCCATGTTGAAATATGTCTACCCTGCTGGAAGTGGTCTGAGGTAAATATTTTGTGAAGTTATATATTTTGTAGAAGGGTAGTGTATATATAGCATGTTACTATATTTAGAGCGTGATCGTGTTGTATTTGTACAGCTGGCTCGCATTTTACCAGCAATGCCAAACAGTTACCCATGCGCACAACAACAAAAACTTGTCAAACTTTTGTTTTACTGGTTTTTCATTCAATGTATTCGTCTGTAAATCTGGACGGCGGCTACATGAAACGACTGTTCATTCGCTTGCAGTGGTTTCTCCTCAGCTCAACTAGAAACCACTGCTAGCAGGATAAAATATGTCTATTTTGGTTTCAAATCTAATGAAATGGTGCATAGATTAGTGATCAAATTTAAACATAAGATTCCCAGTGTTTGCGTGCAGAAAATATTTTCATTGGTTTTGTGGTCCCAGAAAATAAAATATTTTCTGCAGCCCTGAGAAGTACTTGTAAAATAAAAACTTATTAAGTGTCATTTAATAAATGCATAAATTTTGCTTAATGCACTCGCGTTTATACACCCTGTAGGCTGTATGGGCGGAGGTATGCAGTCTCTGAGTGCCCTCTAGTTTTGTAATGTATTGCACTTTATTGTATGTTATCTGGCATTGACGCAACGAGGATTTATATTCTTGCTTGAGCAATCTTGTATCAAGAAAGCAATCTTGAATTAAGGTCGTTCGTTGCTTTTGGGGTTCTTTTTTAACTGAAGCCCTGGGACAAAATGCCCTCCCCTGTCTCGGCAGCCCGCCATTGTTTTACAGCCCGCCATTGTTTTACATTGTTTCTTGTACGCACACGCTTTCAAAATGGCTTCTTGTGTGACTTTATTGTTTATTACAAAGTCGTTTTTCTCGATTTATGCTTGGAATATAAACACAATAACGGAATGACTCTTTCACCAGACCTACAATTAAAAATAGCTTCTGTTTAGCATTAATTTCTTCAGGAAATGGCTGAGGAATTTGGTAAAATGAAATGTAAAACTATATCGTTCGAAATAAAATTTTAGTAACACTTTTTCCTTTACATTATTACAAGTTTCGAAAACGCAATACAGCGGTCAGAACACCATATAGCACAATGAAAACATGACATATCAA